CGGATCAGGATGGCACAACAGGATCTACTCATCAATCAACTGTTGCAGGACATCATTCAGGGAATGCAACCCCTGTTTCTCAAGCATGGCAAAACGATGCAGCTAACCCTTCCTGACAAGGCCTTATTTACTACCGGCGACCCGATACATCTGCAAGGAGCTTTGTACAATATCATTGATAATGCTATTAAATATGGCGGCCCGGATATCAGGGTCACAGCCAGCCATACCGGCAATCATATCCATATTCATATCAGCGATAACGGCAAGGGCATTCCACCGGAATACCGAAACAAGATCTTTGAAAAATTCTTCCGGATCCCATCCGGCAATGTGCATGATGTAAAGGGCTATGGCCTTGGCCTGAATTACGCAAAGTATGTGGTGACTGCCCATGCCGGACATATCTATCAACAAAACAATCCGGAAGGCGGTGCTCTGTTTAGTATCACATTACCAATAAAAAGAATAGCGCATGAAAGTTAAGGTGCTGTATATTGAAGATGAGCCTTACATGGCCCGTATCGTTACCGATACCCTCTTGCTAAAAGGGTACGAGGTATTGCATAAAAAGGAAGGCATGCGTATCCTGGAATACATCAACAGCTTTTCACCCGACGTCTGCCTGCTCGATGTGATGTTGCCGCATATTGACGGCTTCAGCCTGGGCAGTACCGTGCGGCATATCTACCCGCATCTCCCGATCATTTTTATCACTGCCAAAAGCCAGACACAGGATGTCCTGACCGGTTTTTCTTCAGGTGGCACCGACTATATTAAAAAGCCTTTCAGTATGGAAGAGCTTATAGTGCGCATAGATAACCAGGTAACCATATTCCGGCAAAAAACAACCCCTGGGAATTTGCCGGGTGAAGACATACCGCTCGGCAATCTTGTTTATTCCCCTTCCAGGCTGGAACTGCAAGCAGAAGACCGCATTATCAAATTATCTAACCGCGAATCTGAAATACTGAACGTGCTCTGCCAGCACCAAAACCAGATCATTGAACGGAAGAAGCTGCTGCAATTAGTATGGGGCGATGACTCTTTTTTCAACTCAAGGAACCTCGATGTTTATATCCGGAAACTGCGCGATTATTTTGATGCTTCGTCCCGCATTGAGATCATTACACTCAAAGGCAAAGGCTACCAGTTTGTGGTCCGGTAACGCAGCAATTGATTATAGTCCGTACCAGTAAAACCGGCACGGACTGTATCATATCAGGAAAGGGAATAGGATATTTGCATACCCTGCCTTACGGCAAAGACAAAACTCCCATTGACGATCGGCACTTCCCAGGTACCTTGTTTTTTATTACCGCTTACGGTTATCTCCAGCTGGTTATCGGGCAGTATATGCACGTAGGATTGGAAGGTAACGATATCACCTTTGAACGCTTTTGCTACAAAGTCCAGGTTGAAATATTCCAGCATGATCTTATTAAAATCGAGCGTGCCCAGGATGGCTACAATGGCGGCATCGTTCAGGCTGGTGATGGTACTCAGGATCTTGCAAATGCTCAATGCCGCATCCGCATTTGTATTTTTGCTGTCTACCAGAAAGGAGCTGCTGGTAATACTTGTCGCATTATTGTTGGAAAGAGC